GCATGGCAAGAGAAGGTCCCGAGCTATTTAGGGTACTATATTAGGGTCCCCTATTTTCGGAAACTGCCATATACATAGGGTTTAAACATGTTTAAACACTCCTGGGTGGGGTGTTAGTTGTGGCGGGAAGTACCTACTGTTTCGTCGGCGTGGGGTTCAGGTGCAGGAAGTTGGAGGCTCAAAGCTGCCACGAACAAGTCCAAGGGATACTAGGGTTCCCGAAGTTGTTGGAAGTAGCGAGGGGGTGGTACATCCCAAGCCAAGCGCAGCGAACAGTAACAAGGAACACAGATCCGCAGGGTAGCAAACGTCGGTGTCTAACATATGTCAGGGCCCAAGACTAAGGCGTTACTGTAAAGACAAGCTCAACAACTTGACGACTCACTTCTGAAAGACACTTACAACTCTAAACTTGGACCACACATCTTTTCACAGGGAAACCAGTAGTCAGTGGTACTTACCTCACACCCGAACGCCGTAAGACCCTACAGCCCCCGATCCCGAACCCTGAAGCCCTGTGCTGCGAAGAAAAATAGGCTCAAGGTTTTGGGCAACCCTAAACCCTGAACCATCCGAAACCCCTCAACGCTTTTCTGAGCAGGGACTGCAATGCACTAAGCCCTGAATAAACCGCTGAACCCTCAACCGAAACCCTATAGACCCTTAGACCATAAATCCTAAACCCCTGGAGTCCCGGCCTCAATGGCCATTGCAGCCGCCACGGGATTTTGTGCGACTTTTGGGGGGCGTTAAGCTGCTGGTCTTAGGGTCTGCCTGGGCGCTTTTAGGGTGTTCGGTTGAGGGTTTAAGGTTTAGGGTTTAGGGTTTTGTCCAAGACATGGCACATAGCAGGTTATGCTGGGTGGCGGGATGAGAAACTTAAGCAAACCAGGCTTTGGGAAGGGGAGTGCAACCAGGTTCATGAAAGACTTGACATGGCTCTGTTTTCCTGTTGCCCATGAAAACTTGTACTCCGGCACTGCATGCAGCTTCTCTCTTTTGCGTCGCCGGCTCCGGTGAGAAGATCTCTTATGGCCGGAGGTAACGTTGAAGGCATCGACTGACCTTGACTTAGTACACAGTTGCGGGGAGCTTATCAGGGCTTCTGCTTACGGACTTGGGCTTTGGGCTTGCGATACGCTGGACAAGTCGCGCCGCTTTGAGGACCAGCGCCTTCTGCCGATTGCAAGGATGGGTGGTTGGAAGCGAGAGGTCAAGCGTTCCCTTGCTGAACGACGCCCTGGCGACCCCTGTTTTGCGACGGCTCACATCAGCTGGCATGAGAATCTCAATTAATGAAGGCCTAAGGTCTGTAGCAAGCGAGGCTCCCGAGCAGCGAAGACCCCGCAATGCTTTGGCGAGCTCTTCCGGCAGCGGCGCCGTGGCCGCCCAGCGGCCACCACCGAGGCCTTGGACGGAATCCTTTAATAGGTTTAGGGTTTTGGGGGTTTCACGGCTACTGGAGGGGCAGTCGATGTTTGCATATGCGCTTTCCTCGTATGCTCCAGACGGATGAGAAAGCGCCAAAACAAACTCATGGTCTAGGGTTTATAATAGGGCTTCCCCTCAACCCTAAACCCACCCTGTGAATCTTGCGTTAGCACACACACCCTGGCAATTGCAGTATCACCCCAAACAGGCCTGAACCACCCAAAGCTCATAAATGAGCACCCTGGAACCATTACCCACCCTAAAACCCTGTAGATCCCTCATAGCACAGGTCCACAGAGGTTGTTGTCTTTCTTTGCGGGGGTGGGGAGCTATCTATGCTTTAGGACACCCGATGAAATAAGACTGCTACCCTGTCGCCCCCAGACTTACCAGCTTCTACCCAAAACCCTCTCCACGTGCTCTGGGCCCCTGTCCGATCAACTCCACACGCCAGCAGTGTAAGAAGAGACTCGGACACCTGCGAGACATCCCAGCAATGACTGGTGTTTCATGAGCCCTAACCTACTATATAGGTTACTAGAGCCCCTAGGGCCCTATATAGTAGGTACCTGGAGGGTTAGGGGAGGTTTCACCCCTAACTTAGTGGGCTTTCAAAAAGTTGGACAAGGCTCCTGAGAGCTTCTGTGGGCTTCACAAGGCATGTTATAGGTGCTTTATGGTGTTCTGCGCGGTCTGCTTCAGGGTTCCATCAGCGTTTCGGTCGTGGTGAGCTGTTGGGTTCCTTTTTAGTAACGGTGCCGTATTATTTTGGGGACCTACAAAGGGGACCCTAACTTGGAGAACTACCCTGTTGGGTCCAGGGCTCCGGGGTCTTCTGGACGCCTGATAAACGCCTGAAAATAGGGGGTTTCCGAAAAATAGGGGACCCGAATTTATAGTGCCCGAAATAGTAGGATCCCTATTATAAGGACCCCCCAAAAATAAGGTAGCCCCCTAATTTTCGGAAACTCCCACATCTGGCTGGAAGAGCTGCTCCGCTTGTAGTTTGGATGTGATTTCAACCTTGGGACTTAATGACTGCCAGCATTCCTTAAGAACCCAAAACCTACTTTTTTGTAGGGTTCCTATAAATCCCATATTAGAGTTTATAATAAGAACCTACAAAAAAGTGGGTTTTGGGTTCTTAAGGTTGTCCTAAACCCATAACCCTAAATTCCCAAGCTCGATTCTTCTGATGGTGTCGGAACCCCGAATTCAGCTAGCCAGGATGCCAGTGCCGCACTGCCAGGGCTTGCTCCCATGCGGTCGAAGAGCCCTTTTCGGGGTTCTACGGTTTTGTGCTGTTGAGTCGCTGAGGGTAGGGCTTCGATGGTCGAGGGTTTGAGGGTTTTCTCAGGATTCAGGGGTTGTCGGCTTTTGGGGTTTTAGTACTGATTTGGGGTTTCGGGCTTGCTGGATTTCGGATGCAGAAAACTCCGGCTAGTCTTCACACTCTTGTTACAGTTTCTTCTGTTGTAGTGGTGCATAGTTTATAGACCTTGGTTTCTTGGTCGGCTTACTTGCTTACTTCATTGTCTTCTTGTGTAGTCTTCGAACAAGAGTAACAAGAACGCACCAGCAAGGTCTGTGCAGCATCTTAATCATGATGATCTTCTAGGTGGTGATAACAACAATAAGAAGCAGGATGAATGGACATGTTCAGGACAATACGATGCTGTTCATGACGTTCGCCATCGTTGGCCAAGCGCAGAAAAGTGCTGAGCGTTCTGCCATTTCGCCCGGTTCGTACATGTGGCCATGAAGGTGACGGAAGTTTGATTTTGTTCAACCGAGCAGCTGTTGGAGCCTGATACCCCTAAGCAAGTATTCTCGGTGCGGTGGCTCCGAAACATTCAGTTAAATGCGGCAGCCACACATTTCTACACACACCTCCATCGGTGTTCTTCTCCGTTCATAAAACTGCCGGAAAAGCAGGCTTAACACGGTATCTACAATGCAAAACGAGGGTCGGTAGTTCATGGGGGGTTACCATATGTATATATATATACACACACATACCCTATATACTTATATACCCATGTGTACATACACAAACATACAGTACATACTTACATACTGGTATGTAAGTACCTACACACATACGTATATATATATATATATACATATGTATGTGTGTATACACATATTATATATATATATATATGCATATATATACATATGCATATTTATATATAAATATATATATATACACATGCATGCAGGCATGCATGCGTGCATACATACATACATACATACATACATACATACATACATACATATATACGTGCATATATCGGTACATACGTACGTACATACATACATACATACATGCGTACGTATATACAAGCGTATGACGATGTATGCATGCATGCATATGTGCAGACATAAACAGACGCATACAGACAGCGGTATGCATGTATGTGTGTGTGTGTGTGATCTGTGTCTGTGTGCCTGCCTTCCTGTCTGTCTGGCTGGATGTCAAGTTTGTGCGTAAAAACCAACAAATGCTACACCACAAGGGCCCCATATACCACAGTCTACAAACATGCTCGACGACATGTTACAACCGACCTTAAGCATAAACAACAAAGGCAGCACAATGCAGCGAGGACACAGCAATCAGGTACTATTCTATTCTATTCTATTCTATTATATTATATTATTCGATATTCCTAGACCTTCAACCAGCCTGGGCAGCGTAGCCCCGGTCCCCGACGAGGGCGAGGCCAATAGCTGAGCGAGAGGGTAGTTTTCTAAATTAGGGTCCCCTTTTAGGGTCCTTTCTATAAGGGTGCCGTACTATATCGGGGACCTAAAAAGGGCCCCTAATCCAGAGAACTACCCCATATGGTTCCAATCAATGAGGCACCAGGGCTATTTAGCTTCGAGCTGTACGACACTGTTGATTTTCCGGGAAACGATGTTAAAGGTTAGGCTCCGCCAAATAGCAATCATGTAGCCAACAAGTTTGCTACGATTCAGGTTCTCGGTAGTTTCAGTTTCAGAGTTGCAGTTTGGGCTGTAAATTTTGCCGAGCATTGAGGAATTCGATGGGTTTCGACTCACACACTCGCACATGCAGGCATGGCAATAAGTGTAGGATATCTAACAGTCTTGTTAAGACTTGAAAAGTGTTAGGTAGGGTCATGAGTTGTTTGGTTTTGGATTTTGTTCAGACTTTTGAAGGGTTTAGGAGGCTTAGGCGTCAAGAGTCTCAGAAGGCTCGAGCAGAACATCATCAAGCCGTTACACGGCTAACCCAAGAGCTCAACTACCTGGAACAAGTAGCGTACTGCTCCCGATGGTTCGGCAAGCCAAATCTTGGCTTAAAAGCTTGAGCTTCACCGTGGGGCTTCAGGCCACTAAGCCTGCACAGTGAAGAGAGACATCTAATGTAGGGGCCTTAATAATTAGAAGAGGGTTTTGGGGCCCATTATACTATACAATTAAAAATAAGGAACCCCCAAAATAGTATTTGGGTAATTATTTAGGCCCCTAAATGAGAACCTTCTGAGACGGCCGTGCCAAGTGAACTAGGCTGGGGGATTTATTGAGGAGGGCGCGGGGTCTCCAGGGTGTTGAAAGCTCCATCTCCTTAAGGGTCCATGTGCTCAAATAATACTTTGTAGAGCCTTAATAAGTAGAATAGGGCTTTAGGGGTTCCTTATCACAATCAGTGTATAATATAGCTCCAAACTCTATTTCAATTATTAAGGCCCCTATAGTATATACTTTGGCCTATTAAAGTTGTCCCTACATAGCTACGCTACTTTGCGGCCAAAGTATGTATTATCTGTGTACCTGGACCTTTACTGTTAGCGTATGATTTGCTGACAGTGTTTGGGGCTTGCAGGGCCGGTCCACAACAAGCTTGATTCGAAGAAATGTTTGGGAAAACTACAACCCTAAACCCTAAACCCTAAACCCTAAACCGTGTTACACTATACTATAACTAAATCAAGGGCTAGACGCGGGCTCCTTTTTACGAGGGTGCCGTACTATGTGGGGGGCGGGGGACCTAACAATGGACCTCATTTAGATAACTACCCATATTAGGATCCCTAAACCTTAATTATAAACCCTTAACCCTAAACCAAATTAAACCCTATATACCATGATATACCTAATTAAATTTAATATTCTAATTATTAAGGCCTCTATCTTGAGCTCACAACGCCCTCACCGAGCCGCAAACAGTCTGGTGTCGGGGTTAGGGGTTTAGGGTCTTGGGTTAAGGGTTTCGGTTTTAAGGTTTAGGGTTTTAGGCTCGGTTCGGGTTAGGGTGACCAGGGTGTAGGATTTACGGTTAAACATGGGGCTCTCAGCGCCTACACGCACAGGGATGAGTTTGGGGGGCTCTGCGACCCTTGACCCTTAATTAATCTCGCAGAATTTCTCGACAGGGCACAGGCCAAGTGTGCTCTGATTTGATGGGTCCGGCCGGTGATCGGCTTTGCTGATCTCGGCTTCTAGATTGAAAAGACAAGGGCCAAAACGGAACGGCTTCAGGGTTTCTCTCTGCATCTGCTTTAAAGGGCCACACAGGGTCATTATCGCCTACGAAGGACTTACTTTTAAATGGGTCCTTGGGTCTGATACTAGTTCGGCGTTTTATCATTGCCGGGTTTCCTAAGTATTTGGACCCCCAGAATACCGGTTTCTGGTGCCTTGGGGCTGCAAGAAGCAAGGCTGCCGCCAACAAGGAAAGCTTCAACTTGAGTGCCTTTCCGGAAGCAGTACATACACAACGTAGGGGCCTTAATAATCTTAATAATTAGAATAGGGTGTTGGGGCCCGAAATACTATAGTTATAATCAGGCCCATGTATTACTCAACCCCACAAATCCTCCAGCAAACCCGAGACCCTGAACCCTGTTGAAACCAGACTCGTGATGCCAGATGGCACGAAACGTAAACCAAAAACCCGCACTACATGAACAATTCCCCAGGAGTCTACGTGCCCTGAAGCCACACTGAAGCGAAGACCCGGAATGCAACATCCAAACCGATCCCCAGGTTTCTTCAGCCCAGAGAGGGCTTAAGGGGCTCGCGCCTCAACCCCAAACTCTTCAACCTCAAAGCCTGAACCCTGACTAAACCCTAAACCCTAAGCCCACGCCCTCAAACCTCAAAGCCAGAACCCTGGCACACCAAAACCTCGACCCTCTCAACCATAAACCCTGAACCTAAAACCCACAACTACTAAACCTGTGGAACAAGTGCCTTTATAGAACCCCTGAAAGGAACCCTCAGAATACCTTTGTAGAAACGACCTCAGGGTTGAGGCATGTAAACCCTAAACCCAAAACCCTCATGGGCTCTTGGGCTTCGGCGTGCAGATTGGAGGTTTAGGAAGTTTAGAGAAGGGGTCGAAGTTGAAGTAATGTAAGAGCCTTCAGGGTTCCTTAAAGGGTTGTCTAAGGGCTTGGGGCGTAGGGGCCTTAATAATTAGAATAAGGTTTTGGGTATATTATACTATAATTATAATGAGGCGCCCCCCAAAATAGTATAGGTAATCATTTAGGCCCAATAGTAGCACTTGCACCAAAACACCAGCGTATATCGGGCCGACAAGCACGAGGATCCCAAGAAAGAGCCCTAAGTCTTCCCGCCCAGCTGACAAAGTCGCACCGCAGGGAGCTTGTTGGAGACTGCACAGTTGTACGAGAGGAGGACTCAAGGACCATACATGCCCCTTTTAGAAAGGAACAACAACAATGAGGCACCGGTACAAGATAGGGGCCTGTATGGACGTCGAAGCCTCTGCATGTAGCGGGAAAACAAGAAGAAGACTCCAACTATTCGCATCTGCTCGCTTCTGACGAGTTCTTCCCCGCGCTTCCTTCGCCATGAGCTGCAGACACGCGCGTTCAAGCCCCCCCGCCCCTTTCGGGGGTCAAAAAGGAGATGGGGGGGGGGGGGTGAAATAGAACTGTGGGGGTTAAAATGAAGCTGGGTGGGGTTAGAAGGAAGCTCAGGAGGGGGGGTTAAAAAGAAGAGGAGGGGGGGGTTCAGGAGAAGGGGGTCAAAAACAAGCTTCCTCGGACAGGGGTTGCTGCCGGAAGGGTGGGGGTCAAAAAAAACTGGGGGGTCAGAAAAAAGAGGGGTGGGGGGTTGAAAAAAAGAGGGCCCCCAAGTATAAGGCCAAAACTGGTAATGTAGGGGCCTTAATAATTAGAATAGGTCCTTTTTAGTGTATGTAGAATCAGGAACCCTGGGGAATCATACAGGTAACTTTTTCGGCTTCTATAGTAGGCAACAAGCGGCATCAACGACACGAAGCTGTCGGGGTCTCTTGCATCGTGGAACTTCGCCACGACCTCATGTCCAGAAATCTCACGTCACTGCCTAGATTATTTCTACACAATTGCACCCCAGGAAGCCAAAACCTTCGGTTCTAAGTTCCACACAAATTTGGGAGATATGGGGGGTGGAAGTGTAAAGTGTAAAGATTGCGGATAGTTTTCGTTCCCTCGGACTGATTCCCTAGGTATAGAGATATCCGCTGTGATGGTGCTAACCTCTCAGAACAGCGAACGAAAATCGCGCGCAGGTTTGCAGCCTTGGGGAGAATGTTCCTAATCTGCTTTCTAGGGACTTCATGGTGTTCGCTCAAATTAGGACCCTTTCTAGGAACCCCCAAAAAGGCGGCACCTTTATAATAACCTAAAAAGGACGCAAATTTAGACAACCGCCCTAGGGCTTTGATTAAAGAGGTTCCTACGATGGCGAAGCTCTAAATGCTGAAAGACTTCAGGGTTTACTGCAGGGGCCTTAACAATTAGAATAGGGTTTTGGGGCCCTTTATAGTATAATCACTATAAGGAGCCCCCAAAATAGTATTGGAAACTGTTTGGGCCCCAATATTAGATGGGTTTTCGGGTTTCGGGGCCCTTTGAGGGTTTTCAACTCTGCAGAGTTTCGGGCCTCGGGTATCCATTGCACCAAGCCCGCGAGGAAGTCGAACCCACCAAGAGAGCAGCAGCAAAAATGCTGAAGGGTATTGTACAATGTGTCTGAGACGCCGAACGCTAGCAGAGATGTCGGAATGAGGCAGCCTCTGCAAATATTGTGGAACCCTTATAGTCTAGAACCCTTGTCAGGAACACGTTTTTGGTGCTTCCTGCCCCCAGACCGACGTACCCGCTTGAACCCAGGTATCCCACTGTTTAATCAGCGCCAAGTAAGTGTGGCATGGGAGGTTGCAATTAATTGGGTGGGAGTTCTTGGGCTCCAGATATTTTGGATCAGCTATACAAATCTAGCCGTCTGATTATGGATCTATAGGGTCCTCATGTCCGAGACTCCAGTATATCACTCTCGGTTTGCCAGCGGCATGTGGCTTGGGTTGTTTTCGTTTCATGCTTAAAATTGTCACGCGACCAGCAACTAGGATCAAAAAGGCTCAATCAAACCCTGAGCAGGAAAATCGCCTCTGATACCAAAGAGCCTATAGAACAATGAAGTTAGCATCCGTAGCCTGCTTTCCAGGAGCACCTAAAACCTATTCAAGAACAAGGCTTGGAGTCCAGGGCCGGGAGGTTCGCATCCCACTCATGACTCATTCATGGAAATGTTAGGCAATCAGGGTTACGTTCTGGGTTTAAGCGGTGTAGGAATATATATATATATATATGTATATATGTATATATATATATATATATGCATGCTAAGCCCCCCCCCCCCAAGAACTACCGCGAGGTGCTGCGATAGCTCCACCAATCCTGCTCGGTTTACGCTTCTGGTGTATGATCCGGCGTAGCGTTAGGTTTTGAAGCTCCCAGGGGACAGCAATGGTATATCGGCAGCCGCTTTCGTTTTCATTCTTGCCACCCTTCACGCAGATAGTCTGAGAGATAATTTGCACAACGATGAGAGTCATTTCTGTCTGAATACCCGAAGCTCAATATAGGCCGATTATCTCCCATGATAGCCTTCGCTATCGTCTCAGATCAAAGACCCAGCACTACGTATGACTGACCGTGAGCATTGACTGACTTCAATTCCTAAACAACAATATCCCCGAAGACTAACCCTGCCATTAGAGCTCACATTGGCCCCAATGGTGACAGTAGTCTTTTGGTTCATGTTTGCATCCGAAAGTGGATGCCTTATAGATCCACATTGCAGCTCGTATGGAAAAAAGGTTATGTCGACTTGTGGCCCATTATGTATACATTGGGTTAAGGGTTTCGGGTTTACTAAACGCTTACGTACAAAGTTTAGTTTAGGGTTACATGCAGACTTTCGGTTTAGAAACTGCAAGGGTGTATAAGGGATGCAGGGAAGCTCAGGCCGGAACCCGGCACAGTGTTCTTGCTGCAAGGCCGTCCTTCGCGCAAGCACGGAAGGAGAGATCCAGAAAATACTCAAGTTCATGTAGAAGATCGAACTTGGGGTTCAGCGCTTAGGGAACTAGGACTAGGACTGACTAGCATGAATGCATCCTTATGAATCTTGAGAAACATTCCGGGGCCCCCATGAAAGCCCAAAGCAAAACCGCTTTCGGGGCTTGAATGTTGGAATTGTCAGGCAGATGCTCGTGCTCGTGATTCCAAGTTTTCAAGACGGGACGACTGCGGGACATTCAGCAACGGCCTCCCCTGGTAAAGCGCCGTGGAGATCACAACCGTCTGTTGTAGATCCCGGGGCCCCCAGCAAGCACTTTAGCGCATCGCCTTGCTGTCATGTGCCGGGCGCAGGCACGTTGGCCTCAAGAGCCCCGCCGACACGCCGTCTGAACCCTGAGGACCTTGCGTCGGTGCTGGGGCATCGACCCAACATCACACTGCCTGACTCCAGACAATGCCGCGCTTGGTGGGTTCAAGGCCATGTACTCCACGGGGCTAGCCCTACACCCGGCCAGCGGTGTAAAAGCTGCCGGCACCGCGGCAAAAGAAACGGCGACGCCCCAGCAACTCGTGGGTAGGGCAATGCAACACACCCCGCAGTACTCAGTGCACTCACCCGCGTAACAGCATGTGATCCTAGTCAGGACTGAAACTCTTCGCATGCTTGCAATTCGCGCCCGAACACTCAGCGGCACTTTCTGGCATAGGGGATTCTGGCACCGTGGGGCCAGGCATCCCGATGACCGCAAGCTGAGATTGCAGGAGGGTCTAAGCAATGGATCAACATACTTTCTTATTGTCCGTCAATGTAGTTCAGAAGTCATATTTTCTGATTATAGTTTGTAGCTACACGTTATCTCAACTATGAACGTAGTTGAAGCCCACCGGTGTCTCTTCAGGTCATCCCCGTACCAAACTCTGGACAAGAACCAAACCATCCAGAATATCGAGGACTTTGCCCCTGCTCTCGGAAGCCGCGGCATGGATTAGTTAGCTTGTGCGACCTTAGAACCAACATCAGAATGACAGTGTTCATCCTCCCTTGGAGGTTATCTTAGGGGCTGAGTACCCTATATAGCCCAAAAAAGGTTAACCTTTTGAATTATAGTAGGATTATAAGAGCCGCAAAAGGTTAAAGGTTACCTACTCAGCCACTAAGTTATTATACCGAAAGTATAAACACTTCCTAAGAACACTCCGGCTAGTACTTACCACATTAGACCCAGGGGTGCAGAATCAACACTGATGGTACACTCTCAGGGAGCACGCGAATGGGCACATGTTTGTTACTACTACTTCTACTACTCCTCCTCCTCCTCCTGCTGTTGCTGCTGCTATACTGTTAGTGGTACTCTTACTACGATGATGATTGTTATGAACAAGGTGAAAATATCAAATTTGCGATACTCACACATAATATTACTATGTATTGTTGTTGTTATTTGTATTGTTGTGTAGTGTTTTCTTTCGATACGAAAAGTATTTGTTGAAATATTCGCTTATTGCCATGAGGATTACGACTGACTTACTACTACCGTTATTCCTACGAGTAGCAGTAGGAGTCTTCGTGGTGGTGGTGGTGGTGGTAGTAGTAGTACCAGTAGACTACTAGGCACATGTCGGAATGTCGACTCCGACGATCTATTCAGGCCCGAATTGCTCAACGCTACACAAAATCTAAACTAATGCGATGCCCCAGCCTCTCACTGCAAAGCCCCATGCAGATATGAGGAGATCACAAGCAGCTCTTGCAGATTTTGGTGGCCCAATACATGCATGTGGCACTGAATCAGATCGAGTCATTAAGCCGAGCTGCTGCGCACCTGCAAAAAGTGTGCAGCGAAACAGGAGGGGAACTTAAGTGGCGAGGCCACTGGCGGCACAATCGTCTCTGAGAAGTATTGGTACAGTTGCCCAGACACGCTCGCTTCACAACAGCATTCAGAACCACTCCCTCCCCCTTCAAGCTCACTGCATTCCAACAACAGTTGCCATGAGTGAAACCCGGGCAAGTCGGGCGAACTGCAAACATGGAAGTACCATAAACTCACGGAGGTTGGCGTCCCAAGCAGGAACGGACCTCAACTCTACCTTACACCGATGACCGCATTTTGGGGTCTTATTCTAAGCTGATAACGTCTAAGTCTAAGGGGGCCTTACCGCGACTACTTTCCAATACAGTCGAAACGAAAATGCTGATTGCCAAGAATCGAAAGCCCTCTCATGTACCTTGCCAACAGCCTGCATGAACCTTCGGAGAAACCCCTAGGCGCCGGACAAACCCACCTCACAGGCAAAAACACATAGCCTTCATAAGGGCGTGCATGCTTGTACATAACAAGATGTATGCATGCATGTAACTCTCTCTATATATATATATGTATATATACATACGTTTATACTTATTCAGTTATATGTCCATATCTATCTATGTAAATACATATCTATCTATCTATCTATCTATCTATCTATCTATCTATCTATCTATATATATGTATGTATATATGTGTCATATCAGAATGAAGAGCCCAAACAACGAAGTTTTCGCGACTGCAGGAAAGGCTGTTTTTGGTGCCGCATATGAGCTCAGCACTTGGAGCATCAAGACTCTGGAAACATCAGGAAGTACGGGGCTTAGGACGCATGAGACCTTCGTGCTTTCAGATATCCAAGACGGGACGACTGCGGGACATTCAGCAACGGCCTCCCCTGGTAAAGCGCCGTGGAGATCACAACCGTCTGTTGTAGATCCCGGGGCCCCCAGCAAGCACTTTAGCGCATCGTCTTGCTGTCATGTGCCGGGCGCAGGCACGTTGGCCTCAAGAGCCCCGCCGACACGCCGTCTGAACCCTGAGGACCTTGCGTCGGTGCTGGGATATCGACCCAACATCACACTGCCTGACTCCAGACAATGCCGCGCTTGGTGGGTTCAAGGCCATGTACTCCACGGGGCTAGCCCTACACCCGGCCAGCGGTGTAAAAGCTGCCGGCACCGCGGCAAAAGAAACGGCGACGCCCCAGCAACTCGTGGGTAGGGCAATGCATCACGCAGAGCTTTAGTCACCAAGCGCAACAGAGCAACAACCCCAAGGCTCCAAATAGGCAATTTATAACCTATAGGTAAAAATAGCCTATTTCTAGGCAAAACGTAATTTTTAACTATTGCCTATAGTT